CCTCTGCTCTAGCGGGTCCCTTGTACTCTTAAATGCTGGCGGCTGATTCTGATTTATAAGCCCCTGAATCGGTCACCTCGAGTCTGTACTGGCTGAGGTACCGGCCCTTCTCGCTCTTGTCTTGGAGGCAGTACTCTCATGGGAGTCTCATCTCTCTTGAACTACTCTCCCCTGACTCTCCGCTAAAACTGCTGTACTATAGCTCGAATCCTCGTCTCATCAAGGGTAGGGGGAGTCGATTCTGGTGGGTTGGAGGATTCTCCTCATGCATCACACCCTTACCCTTCCTCCTGTTACTACGCCTCATCTACAAAACAACCAACTTGATCAATTCAAAAAGACACTTAAAGTAAGGAAAGAATTAACTCACACAGTCGGCTATTGGACGTCGTAGCGAGAAGAATGGCACACTGTCGAATCCCAAAATCTCGGCTCTGATACCAAAATGTAATAGCACATACTACTCAAAAGATTATAAGGAAATACATATAAAATAAGATAAAGAAATTGGGCCCAATTTTCTTTTATAACATATATACATACTTTTTAAACATAAACATTTTTACACAAAATGTATACGTATACAAAAGGTCATCAAAAAAATCAGGGACAGTGTAGCCACCCTCCTCGCACGCCGACATCATCCGACAGTGTCCCTCCTAGGTCCTGCAAAACATGGGAAAACAACGGGGTGAGCACTAAAATAATGCTCAGTAAGTAAATCCTCTACTCATACTAGCCCCGTAACTCTCTTTCTCTAATTCTTTCCTTACAACTCCTCGTTCAATTTCTCTTTGGCCATCTCTCTTTTTCCTCTTTCTCATAACTCTTTCATGAATCACGACCCCATCTTACCGGGGGCACGGCGGGACTCACTCCAATCTACGTGACCTCTATTCACTCTAGCCGATCGGACTCGGTTATGCATGGATTCGGAACCCTTGGCCATGTGAGTATATAATCTCTCTCTCTGGGTACTGGGTATAGCCCTCATCCGCATGCACTCTCACGGGCTACACCACTTCTCTATCTGATACTCATGCCGCGCTCTCAATGCGGCGTACATGCGGGAATACTCTACCCATTACTCGGGTTCCCCATCGCACAACCTACTCTATTCTCTTAATCTTAAAGAACTTATACTCACATTCTATACTAAATCTCAAGCTACTTCTAAGTGCATAAAACAAAGGTGTAGAGCTATCTCATGCTCCCTAATGCACTAATGATGCCATACAAGATTTCTCAAAACCGTCATTCTGCACAGGTCACACTAAAACAGCCATAACTTATGCTATACACCTCGGATACTACGGTTCTGGTCTCGTTTTAAAGCTTAGAAACAGGGCTACAACTTCTCTGTTTGGTCTCAGCCCAGTTCGAACCGTAAGATACTAAAAAAATACTCCGAAAGTTACGGAAGTGACAGGGCAGATTTCACTTAGGCATTTCCTCAAACATTCATGTGCATATAAACACCTACGAAAATTACTACTAAACTTCATTTTCTAGCCATCCAAATGGGGAAAAACTCCCTCAATTACACCATAATCCCTGTCAAGAAAAGCACTCCCAAAAAGGATTACACAACAATCTCTCAAACTTCATCTCAAACCATTCTCAATACACATATCAACAACACTTCTCATATTTAATCAATCCCAACTACTAAGACTAAGCACACATCTCATCTCAATTTTCAGTAGGTATACCATGTACATACATAATTAAAATAAGTCTCTACTCAAAGCTTAGTCATAACCAACTTGGTTGGATTTACTTACCTTGTGCAAAGATGGCTTCTTTAGCACTTTCCTTCCCTTTGTGGACTTGTCTCTTCTCTACAACTCAAAAAACCACAAGGGCAGCAAAACACAATAAGACCTCACTATAAATACAAGAAAATTACCATCAAAGCATGAATTCTTACCTTAGAAAGCTTTAGATGAAATCTACTCAAAACCCCTCTTAAATCCTTGAAAATCTTGGAAAAATGGGTGGAGAAATTGAGAGAATATGGGCAATGGAAGAGGCGGTGGAATGAAGATGGTAAGGGCTTCTCTACACTTCACTCTTTTTAGTTCTATTATAAGCTTCATTTCCCATTTTGCCCTGCCCTTTCTTGGAATTCCATCTATATCCTTTGATTCTTTACAACACACCCCCATACAAACACAATCTCTACTAAATTTCCTTTCATTTTACTCCCCACTTTTCCTACTAATTAGGGGTAGAATGGTCATTGTGTCCCAAAAGAAGAATTCTCTAGAAAACTCAAGAATCTTTGTTTTAGGCTCTTCGCCGCGGCGAAGCATTTTTCGTCGCCTCGGCGAAATAGGGCAGAACCTACCCGTAATGCCACTTCTCCTCCTCGCCGCGGCGAAGCTTCTTCTTCGCCCCGGCGAAGATTGGATTTCCATCTTCACCAAAACTCAACCCATTTTCAAGGCAACAATTCAACCAACTCCACATACAAACTCAATTTAAGTTAAAACAATAAACTTTTAACTAATACAACAACTCTTAAATACGTACCTCAAGTGGGATATTACACATACACACTACAACAATGTAGCTTTGAAATTCAAACCACTTTGTCTCTAATGCAATGTACTACTAACTAATAATGTACCAACAACCAATATCAGACATTAACAAATGTGCAGAAGAGGAATTCTGATGTGGTAGCAAAGCTTGGTAAATGATCAAATAAATTAGTTATTGTAAAACATCATATTGAGCTTCATTAGAACCATTAACTAAAATAATAGTTAATTTTTGTTTGAGCTCATGAAACTGAGCAACCGACAAAGCTTTGGTCAGAATATCAGCTATTTGTAGCTTTGAAGGGACATATTGAACCACAACTTTCTTGGCAAGAACCTGATCTCAGATGTAGTGAGCATCAATTTCGATATGCTTGGTTCTAGCATGAAAAATAGGATTTGATGCTAATGCCCCAACACTCACATTGTCACACCATATGACAGGGGGAGAAGAAAAACTTAAGCCTATTCAGTGAACATGGATTGTAGCCAGGCTATCTCAATTGCTGTATGTACTAAGGCTTTACACTCAGCTTCAGTAGAGAAAGAGCAACTACTCTTTGTTTTCTAGAGCTCCACTGGACTAAATTAGCCTCAAGAAAAAACAATAACCACTGGATGACCTTCAGTCATCTAGGTTACTTCCCCAATTAGCATCAGCATAGCATTCGATATTAAGAGAAGTTGTTGGTCTAAATAGCAAACCATGAAACTGAGTTCCTTTAATGTACCTATAAATCTTTTTGCAAGCCTGCCATTAGAGCTCAGTGGGGGCTTGAAAAAAACTGGCTGAGCTTATTTATAGCATAGCTTATATTTGGCTTGGTGGGAGTCAAGTATTGGAGTGCTCCTATAGTGTTTCTGTAGAGACTTGGATCCTTAAATACTTCATTGTCAGTAGAGAAAAGCTTAGTTCCAACTGCCATAGGAGTTGAACAAGCATTGGCTTCTAGCTTGTTGGTTTTGGTAAGCAAGTCCACAATGTATTTGATTTGTTTTAAGTGAAGACCTTAAGGTGTTCTTGAAGCCTCTAGACCAAGAAAATACTACACTTATCTAAGTGTCTTTAGTGCAAACTGATTGTTTAATTCTTCAATCGATTGACTGATATAAGATGGACTTGAGCTAGTGATGAGTATATCATCCAAATATGTTAGTGCATAAGTCACTGTAGAATGTTGTTTGAGAATGAACAAACTTGAATCAGCACTAAATTATGAAACCCTATCTCTAATAAGGCTTGCTTTAACTTGTCATACTAAGCCCCTGGTGCTTGTTTAAGGCCATAAAGGGCTTTATTAAGCTTGTAGACATGAGAGGGATAGTGAGGATTCTCAAAGCCCTCAGACACAGTTTCATGTAAGATGCCATTTAAGAAGGCATTGTTGGCATCTACCTGCTGGATGTCCCAACCATTTGTGACTACAAGAGTAAAAATGATTCTAAAAGTGTGTTTGGTTAGGGCTCTGGAAAGATAACTCTGATAATCTATCTTTAATTCTGGACATTCCCTTATTTGGTTGTCAAGTAATAAAATATTTTGGTAATCTTTCAATACCAATAGTGATTATTGTGGGTTAAATAGGGGTAATCAGATTATCTCCTCAAGGGGTGGTATTTAAATATTATAGGGGTAATCTTAATTTTATACACATTTTGCCCTTAATTAAATACCATTCTGGACACAATTTACCTCCAATGTCTACCAAATAATAATCAGCCCAAACCTCCTGCATTTTAGAATTTAGCTAAAACACCTCAACCACAAAAAGTTTAATAAAAGTTAACAAAATACCCCCAGCCATCGACAATAGTCACTAGATTGACGCACGACTGGCAAGATCTAGTGGTCATGTGCTGATCTGGCTGTTTTTGGCCAGATCGAAGGCTAAAAATAGTCAGATTGTCATGGATCTGGCTAGAAACGACCAGAATAGATCGGCCATTTGTGGTCGTTTCTGACCAAATCCACGATAATCTAGCTATTTTTGGCATTCGATCTGGTTGAAAATAGCCAAAACAGTTAGTGACTTACGCTGGTGGCTGGCAATGATGGCTGGCGGTTGGTGGTAGTCTCGAGTGGCTGAGGGTATATTGTTAAAATTTAAACTTTGTTATTGGGGGTGTTTTAGCTAAATTCTCAAATATAGGGGGTTAAAAAATTTATTTAAATAATAATAATAATAATAATAATAATAATATTAAAAAGGAAGGGCAATTCAGTAAAAGCCTCTATTGATAATATTTCATTCTTCCCACCAAACATCTTAATTATTTATACCTACTAATCTACCCAAACATATTGATATAATATTCCCCTGTAATCTTCAAGATAATCTATCTCGGTGGTATTCCTACCTTTTCAACAATAGAACATTCCCCGAACCAAAAGCACCCTGATTGTAGAAGGTTTACAACTAGGCTAAAGGTCTCAAAATAGTCTAGCCCAAGATTTTATTGAAAGCCCTTAGCAACAAGCTTGGCTTTGTACTTCTGCAATGAACCATCAGCATGATATTGTGTCCTAAAAACCCATTTGTTTCCCACTATATGCATGTCGGAAGAGAAAGGAACCATGATCCATGTATTGTTCTTTTCAAGGGTATCATACTCAAGTTGCATTGCCTCTTTCCAATGGTCACTAGCAAGAGCTTCTCTTGCTGAAGAGGGTTCAGAATGGACAAGAGATTTTCCAGTGATGAGAAGAGTAGTGGTTTTAGGAGCACCTGTTTTAGTGAAAGTAATTGGTTTGTAGGCACTTGCTTTAGTTCTAGTTTGCATAGGATGTGTATTTATGGCAGGTTTGGAAGTAGTGGGGATGTCAGAAAATTGTGATAGAGTGAGATCAACTGCAAGAGGACAAGCTGGCAGTGTAGGACTGGAGATTTGAGGCATGGTCGTGTTAAATTTGGATGAACTTAGATCTATTTATGGTAAGCAACTAGAAAGGGAAACAGAGGTATTAGAGGGTAAATGTGTTTGTGGAGAGGATAGTGTTGTTGGAGCTATAAAAGAAGTAGTATACATATGTAATTTATGAGAAGAAAGTGAGTCTGTAATAAAGTTAAACCGAGGAGCAGGAGACAAGGTTGATGGACTTTGGGAAATTTGAGGCTTTGTATGGGAAATAGTTGTGGACTAAGAATGGTTTTTGGAAGTGGTCCGAAGTTCAGTGTTTGGGGCTACTACAAACTAAGAATAATTTTTACTAATGGTCCAAGGTTCAATGTTTAGGGTTGCTGTGGTCTGAGAATAATTTTTGGAGTGATATGAGGTTCAGTGTTTGAGGTTGCTGTGGTTTCTAAATGATGATCATTAGTTGAAGTAGAAGTTTGCTTACAAATTGCTAAGCTAGGACTTGCTTTGGAACAGGTTACTACTGGAGGAGATATATCACTAAATTTAGAAGAAATAGGAAAATTGACTAAAGAAAAATGTAAATTGAAGGAATTGGAAATAGGCTCAACATCTGGTGGTTCTGAGGAAGGAGAACAAGAAGACTGAAAATTAGAAGTGAAGGGAAATTCAGACTCATTAAATTTGACATTGGGAGTTATGAAGATTTTGCCTTTAGAACTAAGGCATTTGTACCCTTTGTGAACTAAGTTGTAGCCTACAAAGACACACTTTGAGCTATGAAAAGTAAACTTGTGCTTATTGAAGTCTCTCAAATAAGGAAAGCAAGCACAACCAAATTTTTTAAAGAAGTACACAGAGAAGGTTTGTAGAAAGTGTCTGATAAGGAGAATTAAAGTCCAAAACTGAAGTAGGCATTCTGTTAATTAAAAACACAATAGTCTCAAACGCAAGCTACCAATAATGCAAAGGCATGGATGCTTGTGCTGTTAGAGTAGGTGTCGTAGAGCCAACAATTATTGTAAAATTGACTTTGTAATAAAAGTTTATTTATCAATAAAAGGCATATTCTTTTATATCGTGTATGTAATGATATATGTCTTTAGGATGGTAGAACTATGATAAGGGTATCAAGTGTTTCAAATCTTAATAGTGAGAACCCTATGATCACATATTGTGGCCATTCTCGAAACGTCTATAGCCTTAGTATTATTCTGACCAAGGACATAGATAATACGGTAAGCCTATCATAGTGTTGAACAACCCTGTCGAAAGGCAGTGACTGATCTCACTTGTCAAGGTTGTTTGCCAACAACCTGGTGCAATGCATAGGTGCTTGCTAGAGGCAAGTTCACTAGACAATGGATTCCATATGGATGGTAACCCTAGTGTCTATGGAATAAATCCTTTAATGGATGGTGGTGCATGTGATCCTTAGACTTAAGATCACCGGAGCGCCTTGTGCACCAATTGGTGTAGTTTGACATTAGCCCAACGTAGTTCTATTCAGAGCTATCAATACAGTAGTGATTGGCTACATTGAGAAGTGTATCAAGACTATGGTGGATCAACAAAAGATTCATCACTCCTAGGTACGGGAGAAGTTATCTCACTGGTAATTCAGTAAATGGCAATGACACTAAATCTGTGGTTACAGATCAACTCAATCCAATTTAATATTCCTGTCATTGGTCTAGTAACTGAATACAAACATGTCGAGGATATATGAGGTTGACACTATTTCTGTACCTTAGTCTCGATGAGATAACAGTTGATGAAATGATTTGATTGCACGGTAACCATATCATTGACAAGCTACGGTTTTGCTGAATCTGCATCTATCGGGTGGCCATGATGCCTTGTTAGGGGTCAATCTTGGTCTGTGTATAGTGAGACGATTAATTAGTATTAATCGTGATACTACACACTGCCGATATAATGAGGAGCCTATGGGTCACACACTTAGAAGATAATTTAAGAATCAATTTGTGAGCAGGGTATTTTCATCTTTTAGGACAAAAGGGTATTTTGGTAACCTCACAGTGTAGTTAAATTTGCTGAGGTTGTTGCCTGTATTTAATTTTAATATTAAAATTAAATTAGTGAGATTATATTTAAATATATCTCTATATATATTTAAGTGAATTATTATTATTAATTAAATATTAATATATTATTATATATTAATTGAATTGAATTATAATAATAATTAATTAATTAAATACCATAAAGGGTGTGTTTGGGTGCAAGGGTAAACCAGGGTTGGAGCCCATGGTTATTCCTAAGTGGAATAGGGTTTTAATTGTTGCACTATATAAGTTCAACTTAAAATTAAAACATAGGAGAATTATTCATTCAATTAAAACCCTAACCACCCTATCTCTCTCTCTCTCTCTCTAGAAGAAAACTTTTCTTGTTCATCTTTCTTGATTCTTGAAGCCCTTGATTGTTCTAGCAAAATAATCAAGGGTTACTATGGATTATCTTCTTGTGGACTTCTGTGAGTGTGATCCTACTTTGAGTCGATTGGCCAAAAATCACATGAATGGTAGACGGTGAAAAGTAACTGTGAACAGTAGACAGTGAACAATAACCATGAACAGTAGATAGTGAATAGTGTTCCTATCCGAAGTCAGAGATATTCGGAGGAGCCTCCAAACGTACGTAAGTATTCTAATCCTTGAATGGATTTACTTTATATAGATTTTGTTTATAAACATGTAAATGGTATAATCCATACTCGGATCTTGGCAAAAAAAGGTAATTGATTTACCGATTGAATTTTTTGTTTTTCCACTGCATATGGTACATCAATTACTAACAGTGGTATCAAAGCCTCGGGTATTAGATTATATTGTTCAATTGATGTTTGATAACATGTATATTTGTTTGATAACATGTTATTGCATGATTTGAAGTGTATTTTTTTTTAAATCTTGAAAAATTTTATGTGTTGAATGTCTTAATTAATCAGTTGATTAAATAATGTGTTGATTGAATGTTTATTGGTTGGATGGTGTCCTGGTAGAATGTTTAAGCATTCAATTTGATTTGGATTCGTGTCATTATGTGAAAAATTGCAAAAGACGTTACTGTGCCTGATTAACTATTTTTGCGGCGTTAGCCGCGGCAAAATAACACTTTGCTGCAGCGAGATGCAAAAAGTGAAGCTAGTCGCGGTGAAATAAAACTTCGCCGTGGCATAAAACTCTCTAGAACGATTTGTGTTTTCTAGAAGTTCACGGTCACCGCGGCAAAATAAAACTTCGACGCAGCGACCCTGTGTGCATGAACTTTGTTAGGGCGAAGAATTTCTTCGCCGCGGCAAGAAACCTACTGTTCCGTTTTTGCTTTCCATTTTTCGCATAGGGGCTAAATTGAAGTTTTTTGAACCTTTAAAGTCAATATTCATTCTGCACGTTTAAGGTGGTAACTTGATAATTCAACCCACCCAATTCAAAAATTGATTGTTTTTTAATGTATGCAATGTTCTTGTTTGATAATTGCATGATGCCCGATACATGAGCCTTTGACCTATTGTTTATTGTTTATTGGGTTTGTTTATAATTTTTTTATAACAAATAGGACCTATGAGTCTTGCCTCTCTCTCTTAAATCTCCATGTATTTCTTCTCCTCATCTCACTCCCCTAGTATGTAACGCGAGGTTTCTACTTTATTGCTTTAAATTAGAATAGGTTTTTTGTTATAAAATTATTTGTAATGATCATAAAGAAGAAACGAAGGAGGTATGAAGAGGAATAACTTGAAGATCCAAGATTTATTTTTAAACCCTAGGTTGACCCACCAATTCCTCTAGGCTCGAGGAAATCAGTTTTAGTGGGCCATGTACCGACACATTTTATTTTGTTTAGAATGTATGCTAAGGTTGAATGTTCAATAACATGCCAAACAATGACATTCTAACAAAGATAATAATTTGGTGAGACAATAAATAAAAACCCTCAAATAAGATATATTCAGTCACGTATGTCTTCCATCACCATGGTTTTAATCAGACCACTGTTCGTCAGAACCTTGTTCGCCACAGCGAAGGGTACACTTCTACCAGTGGGAGGTTAAAATTCATTGGAGTTTTCCTTAATAATGATGAGTCGATTTAAAATGACAGTTTTGCTTGTTTGTCATAGTGAAAGTTGGTAAACACGTCATAGGCATAGTAGAGAAGTACACATATTGAGTGTATATGGTGACATGTAGTGTCCACTCTATTGACACTGGGAATCACACTTGAGGATGATGGCTAGGCCATTGGATTGTGTGATTGGCTTGTTGGCTTACTTCACATTTGAGGTTGGTAGTGGAGCTATCAACTAGTGTGGATTAAGTTTTTTGGCCTATCTAATCAACCCATTTTGGCTTGTTTACCACAGAGAAGGTTTGAAATGGGCTAGATGGGATCTCAGTCCATTAGGAAAGCCAATGGGCTTTCCCGAGTTAATAGTGAGGGCTATTGGCTTGAGAAAAATAGTGGAAGTGTTTTTTAATAAAAGACCATAGTAAGAAATAATAAACATTATATTGACTTTACCTTTCTGAATTGTAGATTCACTTAAAAATGAGCATTATGAACCGTGATTGATAATCGAAAAGAAAACAGGTTGGATGGATCCAATTTCTCAAACTGGTATCATAATCTTCGGATTATACTTAAATTCGAAAATAAATTGTGTATCCTTGATAAGCCATACATGGCTGAGCCTAATCCTGATGCCACTCAGGAAGTAAAGGATACTTATCAAAAATTTCTTGATGATGTTGATGGCGTTCAATGCTTGATGTTAGCATCGATGACACTAATGCTGCAAAAGTAGCATGAGAATATGGACGCTGCTGTCATTATTCTACACCTCAAGGAGCTTTACGAAGGGAATGCTCGACATGAGAAGTACAAGGTGTCAAAAGCACTGTTTGGAAGTCGCATGACCGAGGGAGCCCAAGCTGGCCCTCATGTGCTCAAAATGATCGAGCACATGGAGAGGCTTAAGACTTTGGGGTTTGAGTTGGATGCAGAATTACA